TTTAAGATCGACTTGATCGGCCTGATCAATCAGAACTTGAAAGTCTGTTCAGAGATCATTGATGCTTCTTCCCTCTGGGCTAAAGATGAGATGAAACATCTCAGCTTTGTTATCAGTGAACAGTCACAAGCATTAGAGCACATGGTATAAGTAAACTCCATTAAGCACCCATTAATGCTAAACATTATATATGAGTGTGGGAGGAACATGTGCTGCCATTTTATCTGGGATGCCTTAATTACTTCAGAAAGACGAAGCCAAACTGCAACTATAGCAAAGCTTGAAGGGTTTTGTTAAAAGAGAAGGTAAAGCAAACACAGACTGTTTATAAAGACGAGTGAATGGTCTGTGATCGTCACCTCTAGGTTTCATGAAGAGCAGTTATGAAGCTCAGTTTGGTGGCTAAAGAACAAACCCCTGCCAGGTTGTAAACATGTTTATTTCTGCTGTAAAGCTGGACGTTTTAACATGGGGGTCTTTGGGGATTGACTCATTCTGAAACCAGCCTCATGTTGACATTAGAGGAACTGCAGTTTTTCATCACTTGTTGCCAGTTGGATGCAAACCAGTGATAAACATGCACCTGTCCAAGTGTTGCTGGCAATAAAATGAGTGCATGTATTTGTCAAAAAGTCTCATTTCTCAGATTCAGCATTTGATTTGCTACCTTTACACCATTTTCCATTGATTTTTAAAACATTGTAATCTGGTTACACATGTTCCAGACTTTGTGGGAAACCGTAGTGAGACATAAATGCAAATACAGAGAATCTCATTGTTAAAGTGAAAATATGGAACTTTTAAAAGCAGATATAACACATCCCTCTCTTGAAAATGGAAATTTGAGGTAATCAGCAGTAATTAATATACTAATACATAATAATCAGCTGTAATTAATATATAAATACATAATAATTAGCTGTAATTAATATATGTAGAACCACTTCTAAGTTCAAGAAATTCAGGAGTTTTGGTGCTTCAGCTTTTTTATTTATTTATTTTTTGACATGTTTTTCCTTTAATTTAAAAAAAAGAAAACTGAAAAAAAATAGTAAAAAGCTACCAAAGCAGCCTAATATAGGGACCTACGTCTTTAATGTTTGCTTAATTCATCTCATTATTTGGAAGAGGAATGTGTTATTTCTTCTGTAAACGGGTGCACAGCCCATAATAAAAACAGGGAAGTTTAAGAAGAGGTTATATAAAAGCATTAATAGGCTCACCCAGGGGCGACCCTGCAAATCTGCTTTGACAGAGTCCTTTAAAAAAGAGGATCGTGCTTTTGGGCAGCAGAAGCTGCTCTTTAATCTCATGGGTGCTGCTGCTGCAGCTGTAGCTGACCTGAGACTGCGGGAGCGCGGACGCATGTGGGGGGAACATCGGCCGCCGTCGTCATCCGTGATGCTCTCGGTGCTGCCAAAGTGCTTGGATAAGAAGTGGAGCTCATCCATGGTGGGCTGGAAGGGCAGCTGGTGCAGGCGCTCCTGAGACGAGCTGGAGGACTGAGGGGAGGGAAGAGGAAGAGGAGGGAGGGGAGACCAGAGCAGAGGGTGGAGGAGGAAGAGGAAGCCGGCGAGGACGGGGAGAGAATTAGGAGGATGAGGGCGTGGAGGGGGAGCAGGGGGGAGAGTTGGCAGATGAGGGAAGGAAACAAGAATAGTTGTGAGCAGAGTAAGAGTTGGAAGGATCAAAGAGAGAAAGTGCCAGAAAATTAATGGAAACAAAACTGCAGCAAATGACGTGAAGCAACTGAAGCAGAACCAGTGAAGCACATCGTGCTCTGAAAGCTGAATTATTTCAGAGTCCTGTGCAGCTACAGATGTCAGTCCAGCTTGACCCAGACGTCATGATGACAAACAGAAAAATCAAACATTGATGAAGTTGTCCAATAAGCTTCAGGGCCAAACCTGTAAATCTGTCTATCATGTGAAATTTATCTCACAGCTTCATTTGCCTTCATCAGAGCACTGAGACTGAACCCTGGTTACTTTTCTAACTGGAGGATCAATCAGTGATCAATCAGGCGACAGACTCATTAAAGA